AAACAAACAAACAAACAAACAAACAAACCTGGAGGGCAAAGATTCACTTCCGTTCCTTTTCCCGGGCTTTCCTTATAATTCTCCTCCTCTTTCTTTGTCATCTGAATTAACTCTAAAAATACCAGACAGTTCTGCATATTTTGTCAAAGCAAGAATATTCAATATTAGCAGCATTCACAACTAGCACTGATGATGTTATCTAGTTTGGGTAATGAAATGTTTTCAAGAAAACATCCAAGCTCAGAGAACACCAAGAACCCGTCATTTCAATCCTGAGCTACAAATAATCTCATTTATTGGAACTGATTATATATGCAGCATGATCCTATAACCTAAATAGGAAGCAAGTCTTAATTTAGTTGGACTTATTCCTAAATAATTGTAAAGCTAGACCCTACGTATGCCTTCCAGACATTTTTATAATGGCCTATTGTTTCCATGGGACTTCTTTGAAGTGCATGCAGAAAAGATTGTTCACCTCATTAAATCTGATCGCAACAACTTAAGTTAGAATTAGATGAGTTAAAAGGATGTCAGAAATCATTCAATTCACTCTATCAACCTTCACCCAACAGGCAGGACTGGAGCCAATTAGACAAGTTCACAAGAAGTTCTGATAATTAACCACTATTGAAGAAAAGTGAATAAGCCATATTAAAAATATTCCAGTAAATGCGGTGTTTCAAGAGCAAGTCTGATACATAGAAAAAAATTAAATTATTTTTATCATTACTTTTTTCTCTTTCCTGCCCTATATAACAAACTGCCTGGCCCACCTATTTGTTTTGCACAGGAGAACCAGTTTCTTTTTGACTTTTTTTCAAGAGTATTTGCTATTTTGTTTTTCTCTGTGGGAGAATTTTCACATGGCATGCTGTAAATGCAGAAAATCTAAAACTACCACCATCTTGATAGTTTTATTATTAAATGTATTTAATTAATTAATTAATTAATGTATATTTCACCCCTCTCACTGATAAGGCAACTATGAGTGGCTTGCAAGCCATAAAGATAATCATACAACCTCTAATTAAAATCCTCAGTCAACCCAAAGGAATACCTACCTCCAGAGAAAGTTTGTTCCACTGTCAAGCAGCTTGCATTCTTAGACTGAATGTTGGGGAAACTCTTCTGAATATATTTTTTTGCATTTTTAAACACATACATTCAATTCCTAAGTGCTGGAACAATAGAAAAGAAATTATCTACACTGGTTCTTTGAAGAGAGCTTCCATATTGCCTCAGCTCCTTCATTCTTTCTTTTAGAATTCTGTTTCCTAGCATCAATCATATTAATTACCCTCTTCTGAATACATTTCATTTTGTTGATATTCTTTTTAAGTTGTAATGCTCAAAACTAGAGACATTTGAAGCAAAAGTTTTTCCAGGCCACATCAAGAGAATTTTATATAGATAGGAGAGGGATGTATTATATTTGCAATTGGTTTTATTATGAATGTAAAACTGCAGTCCATGAAGGGCTCAAAACAAATCCAAAATAAATAGAGCAAGGAAAGATACAGAAAGACTGATGTGGGGAGCTATTAATCTTTCTATTATAATCACAACAGAATTATGAATTTCCTATTGTTCCTCTAGCCCGTATACATCCTGATAAAAGCTCTTGCTTCATTATTATTTTGTGTTTGTTTTATTAATCTTTTGCAAGAAGAAGGTTGTTAGAAATGTAAGTATATATTTGGACCCAAGAACATGAATTCCAAAGGACATATTAGGGAAAGAATAACCAATTACAGAATTTTTGTTTTGGTTTATTTTTATTGATCTGGTTCAGCTTCTGATCTGTTAAATGTAAACCAGTGAAGCAAAGTTAGACCAAGAAGTTATTCCCCATTTATTTTCACACACAAGGTTATATTTGAAAATTCTGATTGAATATCAGTGTGTAGCTACATCAGTATGTGCTACTACAGATTAACAATCTTTGTTCTATTCCAGTTCCCCAGTTATGAACTGTTAATCATCTTTTTTGAACTGAAGAAAATATTTGTAAACATTCACTCTGTTGGTTGGGTTCACATCTGATATAAAATAGCTTGTACTTGGTATTGTTTGATGGGTGAGCATCAGGGGTTGAATAAATTATAGCTGTTTGGAGTAGTAAACCAGCATTAGAGTAGTTTATTCTAACCTTATTGCAATTGTGACTTACTATGTATGTGAAGGGGAATGTATGGTATGGTTTTATATTGCCATTTATTTCACATCTGTTTGGCTTATTTCACATCACTCAGGCTTCTGTCTAATTCAGTGCAAAAGCCACTAAGAAAGGAAGGAAGTGCAGGGCAAGCTATTGTTATGTTGCTTTTAAATCTTGATATGTTATAATTTGTTTTTCATTTTTTTCTGCCCACTGTTTAAAACCAACAAGTCATAAACAAACAAAAAATACCTCATTCAACTTATTGGGTTTTTTTCCTTGAAGGTCAGAATCAGATTTGAAATGAAGTCTCCAGTAAAGACAATTGAAGATTTTATTCGGAGATTCACCCCCAGCCGACTGACCTCTGGATCAAACAGTAGTAGCTCTTCAAGCCTGGCAACCAGCAAATCAAGCCAACGAGCTAGCTCAGGTGTTCTTTCCCCAGGGTCTGCAGAGTGCACTTTATTAAAACTAGAAAAGTTCTCCAACTCTTCCCAGATGAATAACAATGGTTACAATTCCCAGCAAGCCACTTGGACCTCAGAAACTGGGTCAGAAGAGGGAGAACTGCGCTATGAAGCTGAGAGCCCTGATGAGGCTGCCCTTGTCTATGCATCCAGGGCATATGAGTGTGCTTTAGTTGGTAGGCTGCCTGACCAGGTGTCAATCGAGCTACCTCACCTAGGAAGACTCACCTTTGAAGTTCTACACATCCTGGGCTTTGACTCCATCCGGAAAAGAATGTCAGTGGTTGTCAGACACCCTCTTACAAATGAAATAAATGTTTACACTAAAGGAGCAGATTCTGTAATCATGGACCTCCTTCTGCCCTATTCATCAGGTAAAAACTATTTGTAGAGTAAAATATACAATAAAATAAGAATGACTTATCCAGCCATAGTGCTAGTGGAGTTGGGGAGGTGGAAGACCTTTGTAAATGTTCAGAAATTATACTCATTGCAGTTTCTTTTATGAGCTCTTCAGAAGAATTAGCCAACAGAAAGTAAAAAAGAAAGTGGATCTCACCTGTATGCCTTTTTTCATGCAGACCAAATCCAAATGTTTCACCAAAAGAATAAAATGTTCACTGTAATATTGCAACACATGCTCTCCCCTATATATTTGCACAACATATATATCACAAAGAGATGGAATTTGCATCCCTACAGTCATCCACCTCCCCATGCACTCAATATATTTTATTACTAGGTATTTTCTGTCAGAATGTTTTAACTCTGGGGGCACTATACATTTTTAATTGTAGCTCCTGAGTCTTCCTTCATTTTATGGCTGTGTATTTTACCCTAGTTAATTCAGACAACACCTTCCACTCACAGATCACCATTCCTTTAAAGTTGATTATGACTTAAAAGCTTAAATCTGTTGGACATTGACCCGAAAGTGTGGAAAGCTTAAACCTGACATAAAAATGAAGTTATGCCAACAGCCCTG